GCAGGTCCTAGGACAAAGATGCTCTAGGAGCCTGGTGTGTCGGTCCACGTATTTTAGCAAGCCCATCTGGGTGGTTGCCCCTTGTAATTTTGCCTCCTCCATTCCTTCCTTCTCCACAGAGGCATCCTTCCAAGCTCTCCACCCCGGAGTACACGGTCGAACTGAAGGGGGCCTCTCTCGATTGGGCCCCCAAAGACAAATCCAGCAAGAAGAATGTGTTAGAGGTGAGTGAGGAGATTGGAGGAAGGGGCCCCTAAATCCCACTGCAGACAGGGCCCAGGAATGGGGTCCTACAGAAAGTGGGGCTGGAGTGCTCAAGACTCAAAGTCAAGGCTGCCCCATCTTGGGTTCAGTGTTCATCGTGTTGTCCGAAAGCCCCCACTCTGGAGACTTCATAGCCCTTGCCACTGAGGGTAAGAAGAAGCAGGTCTCTGGGAGATGAAACTGCCATCCCCAGAAGGACCTTCTCTCAGCCACCAGTCTGAGACTAAGAACTGAGTCTAGCCGCTCACTGTGATGGGCTGAGCCAGCGACCTGCTTTCACTGGCCAGAGCCCAGACTCCAGTTTTTATTGGGTCCCCAATGAATAGACTAGTGACAAGTTGGTCTGGTTTCCCAGCAGGTAGAACAAGAGGACTCTGGCAAAGGCCCCGTAGTACCACGCCCTTCACTGTCGGGGCGTGGGGGGGCAGGGGTGACCTCCCTAAGAACAGTGAGGCAGAACTCGAGAAAAGCACAGGCAGCAAGGGGCAGAGGAGATGGGGCTTAGTGAGTGAAGTACTTGTCACACAGACCCAGGAGCCTGGTTGGTGGCACAGGCTTGTAATCCCATGGCATGGAAAACAGACATGGGTTCCCTGAGACCTGCTGGCCAGCCAATCTAACCTAAATGTTGGATTCCAAGTCAGCAAGAGACCCTGTCATAAAACAACAACAAAGTAGACAGTACCTGAGGAATAACACCCAGGTTTGAACTCTGGCTTCACCTGCACATACATTCCTGCACATGCGTGCACACAATACACACATGCACAAAAAAAAAAAAAAACCCTTTGACAGTGAACTGGTAAAAACCACCACCACCAAAAAAAAAAAAAAAAAGTAGCCAGTATCTGTCAAAAACAAGTTAGGGATGGTCCAGGATGGGGAGGAGCTAGGACAAAGAGTGCATGCTCTGGTGGTCTCTGAGGGAAGCTTAGATCCATTTCTCCAGGCAGCAAGTGAGAAAAGGGACAGCAATTGGTCACGTAGATCTTTCCTGTTA